CTCTGCCCCCTCCCTGAGGTTGAGGAACGTTTGCTTTGGTTTGTTGTTCGTGTTTTTTTGGGTTTTTTTCTTTCTTTTTCCAGAAACGGCTTCATCACCTGTGTGAGCAACAGGCGGAAGATGCTGGCTTTCCACAACCTGCCGGGTGACAAGGAGCAGCCCGCAGCGCTCGGGCAGCTCCCCAAACTCTCAGCAGTGGCGCAGCCGTGGCCCGGTGCCGTCCCGGGCATCCCGGTGCAGGGGCGCGCCGAGCCACACCTCACCTGTCCTTCGCTGCTGCTCCTCTCTCTGCTTTTTTACTGTCATTTGCCCCGCATGAGGCTGCTGTACAGGACCAGCGATCGGGAGAAATATCCCTTAACAGCAGCTTCGCTGTTTACACTACTTTATTCGTGCGAACAACGCTGGGAGAAGCGCTGCTGAGAAAAATCCAAAACCACTGCTTGACCCGAAAGGCAGTGTCAGGGCACTTGTAATAGCACAAACTAGAGTGAAGAGAGGTGTACATTGCTCAAAAACATTCGAGTGTAAATAGCTGATTTCAATAATTGCTTAATTATCATGCTCTCTCAAAATCTATCCATGGAGTTTTGGAAGGGTCTGTGGTCTGACACACAAGGAATAGCAATTGTTTGGGAAGGTATGGTGCTTCATGGAAGGCAGAGATCCTTCTCAACAACGACCCTAATTCTAAAATTGCCTCATTTGTGAAGAAGTGCTAGTTGATGTACGAAGAGAGTTGATTCTGCTACCTGAAATCATGCAAAAATACGTGAATAATAAGGAACACCAGTGTTTCTGTCTCAAGGAAAGTTTTTGTGGCTTGATGGGTTTTTTTTCTGATTTGCATTTAAAGTTAAAACCTTTATATGGAACAGAAGAAAACTAAAAATCACTACTATTTATGCGGTGTACTGTGCAGAAGCTGATAGCTTTGTACATATAGAACTTGAAGGTTCTATGAAAGCCAGGCCTGAAAGGAAAGCAAAGCAATGCTTTTTTTCTTGCTCTTGTCCATAGCTGAACCTTCAGTAAAAGGCAAGTGAGGAGAATTTGATTACGTGACATACTCCTGTAAGGGTTTTCCTTCATCTCTGCCAGTTATATGCTCAGGGCCATACAGGTTTGCATATTCCAGTGGGTTTCTTCTGCAATTCTTGATGACAGAAATACAAAAGAATTTACTCATCAGTTGCAGACAGGAGCGTTTTTATGGAAGCAATATATGTTTTTTCTCTTGTTCATGCTGTGCCACATCCCTTCTGATACTTCACAAACATGCCTTCTTCTGCAAACCTCATTGAAGTTCAAATCTGTTTTACATTACACTCCACTAGACAGGTGCAGTCCCTGAGATCACTTGGATAACACGAAACACCTTTGACTTCTTGCACATAAGCTTTGCCCACAACATTTGGGTCACAACAGCCCAGTACCACTGCTGCTCCAGGAAAAAAAAAAGTATGTAGCTGCAGAGGAAGTTTCAAAACCCCTGTTTAGTAATTTTGATGTTTTGCAAACTAGGGTATACTTTGGGAAAAGACACACAGATTGGTTGTCATATTGCAAAGAAAGACTAAAACTAGGATTTCTATCAGAAAATAAACTACTTCCGTTTTTAGGATACCTGTTGTAGCTACTTATTTGGAAACCTGCAGAAATGGTTGTAAG